CGATCGGATGCAAATTGAGCGTCGATCTAAACAGGGAACAGTTCGCGGCGTTGAACTTTGCGCGAGATCAGTTGAGATACAACGAGTACGCGATGACGCGCACGAGGTACGTTCAGTTCGGCGGCGGTACGGTTTACGTCAACGGCTTCTACCTGATATCGTTGGCAGTGCAACTATCGAAATCTCAGGTATCCTGCGTACGAGAATCGCTTCGGCCATTTGACGGAGGTCGTGCAAAAGTACGTGCGAGAGAAGATATTTCGCGAGCGACCGTTGCCCGCGCAGGTGCGCATTTACGTCAATCTGTCCAGTCTGTAATCGTGCTCCGATTTCGATGTGCTGAGACCTTTGTCGAGCGCCGCGCTGGAGTCGATGCGTCGCGAGGACAGTGTCGTCTGCGAGGCGATAGGCGGTATGGGAGGAGGAGGTGCGTCGAAAAAGACCACTGGCGGCAGCAGCGGTAAAGGAACCGCCGATCCCGGAGGTGTGCTCGGATTCGTGCAAATGGCCAATATAAAGTACGATGCGCAAAAATCTTACATCGTGGCGCGCGGTTACATAGTGGCTACTTATTCGTCCGGTTGCGACGCTTAACGCGCGAGGCGAATGGACTGGGAAGCGATAACAATAAAAAAACGACAATTGGTTCATCGTCTGAATTCTTCATTCGTCCCATTTCTACACATTTTTTTCCATCTCATCCTCCTCTCTCTCTCCCTCTACTTCTCTCCATTTCTCCCTCTCTCCCTCTCTCCCTCTCTCTCTCCCTCTCTCACTCTCTCTCTCTCTCTCTCACGCAAACAAAACGCGCGGTTCTTCCGTGCAGCGCGCGTCGATTCATCGACGATGCACGATTTTATCGCACTCGTTACAGATGACGAAACGCGTCGCCGATTCGTCTTTGGCGCGCAGTTGTCTCGTCTCGGTGCGAAAAGAGAGCGCTGCGTGTCGACAACCGATCTCGCGAATAAAATTCATGAAATGTTCGTAATCGTCGAACAATGTACGCAGCTCCGATTGCTTCGCGCTCTCCGCGATCGTGTCGTCGGTCTCGTCGCATGCCGGAAGCACCGACGAGGTCAACAGGCGAGCCAATCTGAGCGAATACAGCACGTGATTCTCGATGTCAATGAATCTAGCCAACGCGTCACTTCCGTCCAAGTCGTTGGACGCTCGCAATTCTCGTCGTCTCGCGGTCGTCGGTCGCTCGCGCTGTCATTCTCGCGTCGTCTCGCGTCGTTCTCGCGTCGACTGTCGTCGCTGGTTACGCTCGTTGTGCGCCATTCGTTGTTCGGAGCGAATTGCGTCGATCGTTTTATCACCACACGGCGCAACAAATCGGCACGGTCATCAACGGATCGACGTCGTGCCACAATCGGCGAAGCAGCGCGCAGCCGTGATGTTCCCTCAGCGAGTCCAGAGCCAGCGCGGTCGACTCGCCGTTCTCATCGGTGACGGGGATCGTTGGCGGCAGCGACGTCGTTAAAACGCGATCGCGATCGTGGAGGTCGCGCGTTTCACCGGTCGTTCGCGCGACGGCTCGCATCACCGGTAGACATACGGCTGACGAAACGACAGCGCGGACGCGCGATCGCCGCGACGCAACAGAGAGGTCGCCGCGAAGTCGCGATAATCCAGACACAGATTCGCCAGAGTCCACTTGGACACTCCGGCGGCGGCGATCGCGCTCGAAACTCCGTACGGCGAGTTCTCGTGCACAATGTTGTGACAGCGCAACAGCACAATATCGATGGGCAGCTTGCGCAATACGATCGCCGGTAGCGCGCCGATGTGACGAAAGAACTCGTCCCCGCGATTCCTTCGCCAGTGCGCGGAACACTCGGCTATACGTAGAAGGATAAATTCTCGAGCAACGCGATCGCGCGATTGATGTAGCGATTTCGCTGTTGTACGGTGAGCGCCGTCAGAGTGTGTAGCACGATCCAGAGAATCTGAGACGTGCCGCTCTGCCAGACTCCGCGCACGGGCAGGATTATCCAACGCACCAATTCGTCGTCGCCGCTATCGACGCGTTCTCGTCGTCGGTTCCACGCGGACGTTATCTCGCTCAACGACTCGTATCTGTACACGATAGGCGCGTACGCCGTGTACGCCTCGAAGTACGAGAAGCTGCGATCGTGTCGCGTCGAAGTTTCGTCGTTGTTCGCTACTACGGTGCGCGACATAACGTTCCGAGCTCGCGTCGCGAATTCGCGATACGTCGCGTCGTCAACAATGACGCTCGCGTCCGCGCTCGCCAGCTCGTCCAACGGTGTCGTGTCGACGCGTCGGAGACTCGTCGTGCTTCGCACGTCCGCCGGAACGCGCATTCCCGTGTCGAGCGCGCGCTCGTTCACGGTCGTCAGCACGGAGCGAATATCCAGTATATCGCGACGAAGGGAAGCGATCGACGTGATCGGATCGGCGACCGTCGCGTCTTCGTAGTCGTTGCGCTCGGCTGCCATCGCGAGCAGCGAACGGTGACGCCGCACCAACGGAACGAACGTCGCGTCGAATCTGTCGATGTACGCGTCGTTCGCTCGAGCAAACCCGCCGCGTCGAACGAACGCCGACGCTGCAGGTCCGACACCCTCAGCGTATCGGTGGCGTTCATGTTGTTGTTCAACAGATCGAACAGTTCGCCAGCCGCTTCAAACTCGGCTGCGCGCTCGTTTCGCTCGACGTTTTGCCGGGATACACCGTACGCTCGCATGAAGCTCAAGGAGAACGACATGGAGTGTACCGCCGAGCGTGGTTTCTTCGAGAGAAAGCGACAAACCGACGTCATCCAGCGCGGATTGATCGCCGTTCGAGACGGCAAAACGCGCGATTGCGGAAATATGCGGCATTCCTCGCCCGATTCGAAACGTCGTTGCGTCGACGCCGCGGCCATGTAGCGCGCTGTTGTCTTATTGGCAAAACTCGATTCAGCGGACGATACGATATCGCGATGCGCTGTACGTGTTTTTATTGGTTTGAAAAAAAAACAACGTCGCGATTTTCCGTCAGTATCGCACGTTGTTCGCCGTCTGTAAAAAAAATAAACGCTAGCACCGATTCCAATAGCTCTCGGTCTCGTGACACGAATCGGACGAGTGCGAGCAGTGCCGTTGCATCGAAGAACACGAACGTTCGGGACGCCGCGGTGTTTGTTTCTCTTTTTGCGTACTATTGCGAGCGGTGGGAAAAAACGCGAACTACTATTCTACTTTTCGTTTTCGCGGATCGAGAGATACGCGCGAGAAGCGCGATTGGTTGTCGCGGCCTCTGAGAGAAACCGATCAATAACATCATCGAGACAGTAAACGCGAGCGTTCGATACGACACGCCGATTCTGCGCGAATCGAACACTGAAGAGAACCTTTTTTTCCAGTTATCTCGACCGAAGCTGAAAGGAAAACGCATTCGTGTCAGCGCGAGGACGTTCGACGCGTGTAACGTAAAGTTACACACGGCGACGAAAAACCGACAGCCCTTCGGCGTCGGGCGAGTGTCGGTTGCGCACTGAGGAGCGCTGCGATGGACACAGGTACTTTTACACTTCTCCCCCTTACTTTGTATCTGTAGTTAGGGGGGGTGGCTGTCTAGTGTCGATTGGTGGAAGAGTGTGGCTCGTTCGCTGTTTCGCGTATCGCCGTTGTTCCGCGACTGGTTCACGACTGATTCAGAAACGTGAGAAACCATCCAGAAGACGACCGTTCGTAACCTAGTTCGCGTTTGTTCGATATCGAGTTTTTATTGCTCTCGGAGAAGCACGCTCCGTTCGTGGCGTCGAGTCATTTAATTCGAACGGAGTTCGCGCGTTGCTGTCGAAAATTCGGCGATGGTTCGTTTTTTTGCAACGATCATGTTGCCGGAGGTCGATGAAACGAGAGGGGTGATTACGCGACAGCGATTTCACGTGAAAAAATGTCCGTATTGCTACGACATACTCGATTTACTTCGACGTACGGTGAGGAACGTCCGTTGTCAACGCGCGTTGTCATTTACGGTCTTTTCCGCGCGCAGTGTCGTTGGCGAATCACGTTATGAACGCGATCGCGAACATCGCAACGAACGACAGCGAGGAATACTGCTGCGACGATCACAGCGATCAACGCTATCCCTGGCTGTCTCGCCAATTCATCCAGATAAGGACGAGTGTCGACAACAAGGAAATCTCAGTGACTACGCCGAGAACGAAGAATCGTCATCATCGAGCGAGAGCGACGATGACGCTTTTATTCGCGAGGAGGATCGCGTAACGTATGATCTGTCGAGATTGTTGTACTCCGTTTTCCGCTATCAATCGTCCGATCGCGAGACGCGTATCGATTTCGACTGAATGACGATCGCTCCCGAAGTTTCGACTCAACACTTGCGCGACGTCGTGTATTGGTTATTACGCATTTTACCGATTTTGTGCGACTATTGCGAGATCACTATGATATCACGGCGCGATATTCATCCGAGCGCGATTCGTTACAAAACTGCACGGGGTTGGATGCGACGCGACATATGCGTACGTTGCGCTCTATCGCGCGTAACGAAACAAATTATTCCTGAATTGGTCGTTGCCGTTCGACGGTGGCATGTTCGGCGAAACGACTCGTCGGAGCGCATAGGCGCAACGAGTGCATTCTTCGCACCTATTGATCGTCAAACGACGCATAACAGTTGGGCTGAAAAGTTCGTAGGCTAACACATAGATGACGCTACTAGAATAAATCCATAAGATGTTTAGTTAGTACCAACCTTCTAAAGAAACGTGTATAAATTTCACAGGTGTCGGACAATTGGTTCGTGAGATATAACATTGTGAGTGAAGCAACTTTTGTTATTGTGAAAAAATGGATAAAAAAAATTTCGTGTGTTGATGAAGCATTGCTTTTTGGCGAAAAGAAATACTGTTGAAGCCAAGGCTTGGCTTGATAAACATTATTCGGACTCTGCACCAGGAAAATCAACCGTTGAGACGTGATTTGCTAAATTTAAACGAGGTAAAATGAGCATCGAAGACGATGCACGCAGTGGACGACCGAAAGAGGCTTACCGACGAAAACATCAAAAAAGTCCACAAAATAATTTTGAATGATCGTAGAGTGAAGTTGATCGACATAGCTGAGACTCTAAAGATATCAAAGGAACGTGTTGGACATATTGTGCATGAATATTTGAACATGCGAAAGCTGTGTGCAAAGTGGGTGCCGCGCGTGCTCACAATCGATCCAAAGCAACAACGTTTTGATGATTCGGAGCAATATTTAGCGATATTCAACCGTAATAAAGACGAATTTTTCCGTCCATATATTACAATGGATGAAACATGGCTCCATCATTACACTCCAGAGTCCAATCGACAGTCAGCCGAGTGGACTGAACGCGATGAACCGAAGCCAAAGCGTGGAAAGAAGCAACAGTCGACTGGCAAGGTTATGGCATCAGTATTCTGGGATGCGCGTGGTATTATATTCATTGATTACCTCGAAAAGGGCCAGACCATCAACAGCGAGTATTACATAACTTTGTTGGAGCGTTTAAAGGATGAAATCACGAAAAAACGGCCCCATTTGAAGAAAAAAAATGCTGTTTCATCAAGACAATGCACCGTGTCACAAATCAAAACGATGGCAAAATTGCATGAATTAGGCTACGAATTGCTTCCCCATCCACCGTATTCTCCAGATCTGGCCCCCAGTGACTTTTTTCTGTTTGCAGACCTCAAAAGAATGCTTGCTGGAAAAAAATTTAGCACTGATGAAGAGGTTATCGCCGAAGCTGAGGCCTATTTCGAGGCTAAAGAGAAATCGTACTATAAAAATGGTATCGAAAAATTGTATGACCGCTATAATCGTTGTATCGCCCTCGAAGGCAATTATATTGAATAATAAAATCGAATTTTACTAAAAAAATTTGTCTTACTATGTTAGCCTACGAACTTTTCAGCCAAACTGTTACTAGATGCCATATGCAGTGGTCGATGCGTAACCCGATGCGGCAGATATCCGTATCCTTGGTGGAACTTGGTTGTCGTTAAATTTGTACCTCAGTGCGCGCGACGAAAATCGCAGAACGGTGTCGCTTCTCGTACCTTCGTGGCCAGTGACGGTTCCACGACCGAAAACGCGCTAGCTATTCTGAGCGATGTGGCGGTCCAGCTGTTGCTACTATGCGAAGAAGGAGTAACGTGCACCGTGTTCGCACGAGTGGCTCCTGATCGATGGGAGAACATGGCGTACTGGTTGTCTCATCTGTTGCCTCTGTTGTCCGAGAATTTCACTATTTGTTCGCCGCGATCGCGAGATCGACTCGTTTCATCGAAATCGCATCTCGATCGAACATCAAGACTCTCTCGAGAGCGATAGCGACGTCGTCAGTCGCCGAGCTCGGAATGCGTTCCCTCGATCGTTATCTTCGCGAAATTGAAACGCGTGTTCTTCGATCGTTATCTCCTCAGCGAGAGCGAGAGAGAGAGAGAGCTGAGTGTTTCGATCGAAAAAACCTGCGATTATCGCAAACGAGGACGTATTAGAGTTTGGAATATTTCGCGATAACGACGACTAAGGCTCGATTACCGGTGAAATGTCGACAATTGGAACGATGAGATTCATCGCGGGGTTGTCGATCGCTATGTTGGCTATTATGACGAAGAGAACGATGGCGCGAACGTTACGACTGATACGTAATCTGTTGATGACCACGGTGATCAACAGACGCGAGCAGGCAATGCGCCGAGAGCGATTTCACGATGCGTTATCGCTCCATAACGTTCCTTCGCCCGTATATCGAACGCGAATAACTTCTTGATCGTTAGTTCGATCGAAAAAAAAAGAGAAATGTCATCCGCTGCGAATCGATGACGAACTAACGGAACAATCGTCGATCGTCGCGACAATTCGCGAATATCATCGGATTCGATTGGAAAGGGAACGACAATGTCCGTATTGCGAGCGTCGGTACATCAGGGACGAGATGTTCGCGGAGGCGATACGGTATATCGATTACGCTTCGCGCGAGGAGCGACGGACCGTCGATTGGACCACACCGCGATCGCGTGTGCTGCAGGATCCTCTTCATGTGGACGAAATGATATCGCGTTTGCTGACGGAAACTAGTGTTTATCGCGATCGAAGGGAAGCCGAGTCTCGTTACCCTTGGTCGTTGTATCTATCGATCAATCTGGAAACAAATGTCGTGCACAACGATGACGATGAAAGCACGAACGAGAAAGGAACAGGGCTGATCGCCTCGCTCGAAGGTTACGAATTGAACAGTGAGCTATTGAACACATTGCGCGGTATATTCGTGCATCGAGAGCGTCGATCGAACATCGAGGCGAGGTACGCCGAAGTCACGGTCCGAATATCAAATCGTCACTGGAAGAGCATTGTGTACTGGCTCTTGCGCATTCTACCGAAAATGTGCGATTCGTTCACGTTGACGGTGTGTCCGGATGCGGTGTTTCGTCGTTGCGTCGACTCATCTTGGGCCTCGTGGTTGCACGGTGTGTTCGATTACACCGCGCGAACTCGACCTTGCGAGCACGGATGTTGGAAGTGCGCGATAACGGGCGTCTTTCACCGGACCATTCCCGAGCTGATAACGGCGGTTCGACGCTGGCAAATTCAACGACACCTGGCGCGATCAGTCGTCGACACGACACTCTCGTCGCGATCGCCCACTCTAGCGCACATGAAGCGAGCGATATTGGACGAACTGCTGTCGTGCGACGCGTCGAAAATCAGAGGCGAGCATCGCGTTCATTTGAAAACGTGTCATTCGCGATTCCGTTTTCGCGCGATAGATATAATAGTCGCGCTCTCATCGAGGAACGACACGACGAAGCGGAGGATGCGACCGTTCCGAGGACGGTTCGACGACCGAAATCGTACTGGCCGTGTTGACCGAGGTGACGTAAAGATTGCGCGACGCTGACTTCGATACGCCTGTGATCATACAGGCGTCCGAACAATGCGAGAACGTGTTGTACTGGTTGACTCACATGCTTCCGTTGTTCTGTTGGCGCTTTTCATTATGTGTAAAGGTCCTTTGACGCAGCGCACGCGATCGATCGATGCCTTGGCTCTATAATACGAGATAATAAACATTGCGTCGTAAATACGATGAGCGTTCGAGTTTCTCTCCCTTCTATCTTCTGATCAGTTTGCGATCGCGAGCTGGAGATACAAACTTGCACGGACAATCGATACACTTTCCGTAATTCAGGGGCCAAAGGTCTTCGAATAGTTCGCTGTAGCGCGAATATACCGATTCCGCTGTTTCAGCGCTCGCGCAGAATGGCAATTGTACGAATGCGCAATACGGACAATGTTCGGCATGTCGTTCGTTTAGTTTGGATCTCGATACTGCGTAATTCAACAACGCGGTGAAGAGAACACGTAACAGCGCACGAGTACGATCTCCTCCGTTTCGAGTTGATATTCCGGCGTCATCGTCTTCGCATTATTCAGTGATATCGTCATCGTCATCGTCGTCATCGTCGCCACGTCGCCATCGTCGTCATCGTCGCCACCGTCGCCATCGTCGTCGCCACCGTCGCCATCGTCGTCGCCGTCGCATTCATCATCGGGCGCTACCAAGCACGACGGCAGTTCGACAACGGCGAAACCGTCAGCTACCAACGATTCCATGTTGTCTCTCGACGTTAACAATCGGCCGGTGTTTACGTCTAAAAGCTATTCGCGTGTTGTTCGGGATCGCTGTACAAGAACGTGCCTTCGCCGTATACGACCACATAGCGTCGTACTGATACGCGAGACAATAGCAGCGACAGTACGTTCTCCAGCGACAGTTCGACGAATGTTCCATCGGGTGACAAAATTTGCATTTTACATCGAGCAATTCGGTTCTGTCTCGGACGGAGCATCTATTGAAACAAAATTTGAAACTGTCTTCCACCACGTCGTCGCACAATCGATGAGAAACCTCCCGTTCACGCAAATTCAAGTACCGTCTCGGAGAACACGCGAGATCATCCGCCGTTGTCTTTACCGTTGGCCGTAATCTCCAACTGGACCGAAACGATGATTCGCCGCCATCGACTTTGATTTCGCGTCGATGCGCTCGCCACAGTCGGATGACGTCGACGAATCGCTTGGCGTCCGTGTGATTCGCGTTACTGCTCGTGTGCCCACGGAAAATGGTGAATTCCCCCATTATCGTGGATTCGCAATCTTCCCCCGGTAACACCAGATACGTAACGAATGCTCGGCCAATTGTGGACTGATACCGTTGACCCATAACGCGCGTCGTAGCAACTCCAGTCTTCCGTTTTCGACGTGTATCTCGGCGTCCGGATGGTCGACTGTGACGTCCGATGGTAGCATCCATCTTGGATAAAGCGTACCCGGTGATGCGATACGGTCACGAGGGGACATTGTTACGAAGCGTTCTCTTCCGCGACCGACCGAGGAGTGACTAGCTTCGTCGCGGCGAGACTCCGTCACATCGTGTGTCTCGCGACGAGATAAAACAACGAAATCGGCCGAGTTCGATAACAGATGACACGGTCTACGTTCGCATTCTCCGGTCGCAGGTCCACACCTCGCTTACATGTTGTTTCGTATGGAAGAAGCGAGTGCGTGAACTCGGTGTATAAAAACAAACTCTCGAAATAATCTAAATTTCACGCTTCTGGAAGTTTCTCGAGAGGATGCCGTGATTTGCAAGAAGTGCTTCCAAATAATGCTAATATCGACGCTTCGATGTCACATTACGAGTTGTTGTTGTTCCATTTCTTATGAACAGCTAACAATGTAACCTAGTTGGCCGAGCCTAGCTCGTGTACATTCGTCAAAACAATAGCATCCAATGCTGATTGGAATACTGATTAAAAACTCGAGCACAAGACATTGTTTTCTTTCATGTGACATCGAAGGACGGTCGTATTCGTTACTCTTCAAGTCTGAACGTGAATTCAGATTAAACCAATCCCGCTCGAACACGGTTGGTTTTTCGCGAACTATAAATATTAAGGCTAAGGCGATCCGAGGAGACAACGTCGTCATTCTTGACACACAAGGTACACCGCAGCGCTAAGTTAGGAGTCTCCCACTCTCTATCCGGATTCTCGCAAGAGACTCATCTTTTTTGTTGATTATTAAACAAGCTGTTTTTAAGAAACAAATCTAGTGATTCGAACCTCCTGTACCGTATCCAAACGCATTTTATCGCAACTTTCTGTCGCGTGGGAATCAGCGACATTTTATTGCACGTGTCGAACGTTCACCACTTTGCAACCGATCAACGAAGAGCTTCTGTTTCAACGCAGCGAAGAAGCCATTATCATCATTTAATTCGAAGCAAGAAGGTAACGTCTGATACACATGTGATCGCTAAGCGTTCGGTACGAGCTTAATTCTTGGGATCACGTAGGATGGAAGATAACAACGCGGTGATGCGCCGTCAACGATACCATCGAGATCGCGGTCGAGAAAAAACCAATATATATTGGTTCGTACGATCGACAGCACCGAAAAATGACATTCGTCGCGCGAGACAACAACGGCGAAATCAAGAAACTGTCGAAGAAAGCGCGAAGGTGTCTGTGCTGCGCGCAGTGCTCATCGTGAACGAACTGCTGGAAGAGGCCACGCGGCACATGGACAGTGTCTCCCGCGACAACGATCGTTTTTCCAGAATCGCTCGTTCCCGATCAACCGCATCATGCGATTTTTGGCGTTCAATGAACGTGGTCGAGCCCCCACCTATCCCCCCAACGGGTACCGTTCGAACGCGTTTCGCGATCGCTTGATCGACATCGCGTTATGGACACTTATTCACCGATCTAACGCTCGACGGTCTGAGTCTTCGAGAAACGAACGAACGACGTCATTCGCCGTATCTGCGATCTGAGCGAGCGTACTTTCGAAGTCGTGAAAATGAACGATGATCGGGCGTCGTGCGACGTCGCGTTGTCGTCGTCAGTTTCGCTATCCGCTTCGGAGGACTCGCGTCCTTGTTACTGCGACATCGAATTGTCCAGTTTGAATCGTCTGAACAATGTAGTGGCCACTT